AGTCAAGAAATTATTAGAATAGTGCCAAAGTAGATTTTTCAGCTACCAGTGTTGCCCTTTTACAGGCATGTTGTGAAGGTGCTGTTGATGTTGATTTATACAATGGTCTACATTTGTTGCTGTTCTCATCTCTTTAAAGCTAAGGTGAGCTAAAGCAATGCAGGCCTTTTACATGTACACATTTCACATCAGGACAGATTTTCATTAACACTGCTTGCCTTGACATCAGTCTGCCATTGAATAGAATAGTGACTACATCTGGGGAAGGTCACAGGAAAATTCAGGTGACCTGGTTGAAGTCAGCAGTACCTACAGGAAACACAGTGATTTATATCAATGTGGTTGCAGTAATGCCCAGAATCTTTGGGCAGATTCCTGTAATGTCAACTGTAGAATAAAACATAAATGAATATTTAAGTCAGACTTTACAGTCCCTGTGAAGTTACAGGAAATGGAGGGATGCAAACCTGAAACCGGTGCTTCCTAATTTCCCCACAATGTAAACCCTCATCAGTCTGTTGGCTAACATATAACAACATTTGCATTTCTTCTACTCAGTACAACTAGTTCTTCTCTCTTAAATCCTTTCAGAAGCAGGGTGAGTGCTGTCAATGCTGACACAGAGAAGGACTTCAACAAGACAAGGACTTCAAGTTTGAATATTTTGGATGTGGCCAGTTTTAAAAAAGGCTTTGACAACAGATCTTTCATAAACATTACAGAATTTAAAGCAAATGGCTTTTAAAGTTGACAGCTTTGCCCCCTTCACCAATGATGTTTAAAAGCTTACAGGGTATGCTATTTTAAAATACAGTTAATATAGTTTTCCTGGCTTTGGACTGTTAGGGTAGACAAAACCACTAAAATCTGTTCCACCATGCAGGACTACTAAATGACAATAAAATGGTACAAGAGGCTGGACTTTAAGTAAGACAAATACTGCATTGTTTGGAAAGCTCAGCTGTGACTTGATCTGTGCCAGAGTAGCTCTGTGAACCTGTCTGTGTTGGTGTAAGACACAGCTCTACTTCCCAGCAGTGACTTCTTCAGCCAGATCTGGTTACTGCTCCAGGGCACGATTGCTGTGCTGCAACAGGAGGATTAATCCTGCTGGCTTTGTTCCAGGGTTTGTGATGTCCAGAAGAGATGGGAGAAGGGGAGGGAGAATCCATCATGTCCTTGATGGTGTTTTACTTGTGTCTGCAGCCTCATCTGTATATAAAATTGCACCAGTTGAATTAAATATGGTGTTTCTATGTGCTCCAGAGTCTGTATGGGCACACATAACTGAGCCTGCAGGAGAGATTTATATGTTTGTTAAGCTTTAAGTGTTATGCATCCCCTGAGAGAACAGTTTTGGAAAAATTTCCCTGAGAAAATCCGTATTTGAGCTCAGCTCCTTGGAGAAAGGAGATGGTGGAGGAACAGGTGAAACGGCCAGAAATAATCAACCCTGAGACAGTACAAAGGATCAGAAATGAAGGAACTTTGTGACAGTAAGACCTACAGAAAGAGCAGAGAAGGAAACCCCAAAGCACAACCAGTGAAGAAGGAAGGCCCTGGCAACTCACCATAACCACCTTGGCCAGGAGAAGCCTGAAGCACAGGGCCAAATCAAACAACCAAAGAGCAAAGAGCTCACTGATTTCCGCTTCTTGTGCTCAGTTCTTCACAATGCTGAATGGATTTGAAGGAGCTCAGCCAGTATTAATTAGAGTTTCATGGACTACCTTAGTATATTTTGTGACTGCAAGACTGCCTCCCCTCTAAGCACTGTCTTGTTGATTTGGAAATAAAGGGGTGAAGAATTCCTTACTTTTGTAGATGGGACAACAGAAAACATGACTATGAGTAAAACAGAGACAAATTGTGTGCCTAGGCTCCTGTACTTGGCAGTGTTCACTCTTCTGCAATGTGATGAAGATGTGAAGCTCCCAAAAATGGGAATAGATGGATCTGGCCTTTAACTCATGTCCCTTCCCACTGATGACCTCAGCAACACCAGTGGAGCAACTGCAGGATGGTGTCAGACCTCAGGTATTAAAGGAGCCCATCAGCAGTGGGGTCCCAAAAAAATTTCAGCCCCAATTCATGACTACTAGAGCTGCATTATTGACATGATGCATTCACAGATCTCACAGCAGTTCATTAATTTCTTATCACTTGGATGTAACTTAATGCCCTGTTACCATGAGGATACGTGAAGGCCAGGGAAACAAAGAGGAGAGGTAAAAGTCTCCAAGACCTTTGCAAATAGCATGCCCCAGGACCACTTAAACTGTCTGTTCAGATACAATAGTCTACAGGGTGAAATGCACCAGGAGATTTTCATTTCCAGGAAGGCTGATTTTGTATCTCATCCAAAATATGTTACCATTACTACAGCATCCCAGATAAACATAATGGGATCAGTACCAACTGGAAAGGAAGATAAGTTTTTGCTGAATCACTGTCACTGCATCTGATCTTAGGTAAACACCCACAGGCCCTGGGTAAGCCCTTGAGGGAATATATGTATGGAAGTGTTTCCTCTGTGAGTCACCCACGTCATTTACTGTGGCAAACGGTTCTTTTTTGAACAGTTCTTGCCCCCACACTGTGGCACTGATACCTTTTAAACCTTAAAAAAGAAGAAAGAGTGCTTTTGCTTTACCTTGAGTCACCAGCTGTAGATGTCCCCCAAGGTACCCTGTTGTGGAGGACAGCAGCATGCTAAGCAGAAAACAGCAACGTGAGTGAGGGGGGAACGTGCAGAAGTATATGAAATATTCATCTCTCCCAGCCATGAAGGGCATTCAGCAATCTTTGTCAATGTCATGATTATTTTATATCACAAAAAAACCAAGTTGAACAGCTGCTAATCCAGTAGGCAGAAAAACAGGAGAGAGCTAAGAGGAGATGCTTCATACCAGATGAAGGCCTGCAGAAGGGGTGCCACATCTCTTGGAGGATGCGCTTGGACTGCGAGAGAAAAAAGGGACGTTCTCCTGCCGGCGTGCTGCGGCTCCCTCCGGCGTCCACCGCGAGCAAGAGCAGCAGGACACCTCCAGCGATTTCTCTGCGGCTTGTCTGGTATGTGGAATACCGAACAGCTTCCCAGCCAGCAGTTCCATCACCAGCAGCATCGCCCCATCCGCACCAAGCTCTCCAAATGGAGGGGTTCTGCCAGCACAAGGGATCTATCCGCAGCAAGCAGCTGAGGGAGAATGTCTTCCAGTTTGAGAGAAAAATCTAAAGCTTAAAAGCAATCAGCAGAAAACTCACCCAGTACTGGCTGTGGATCCTGTGCTCTGTGGGAGATGGTGGTATGTCAACACATTGGTAGACAAAAACATTTGGAATCAATGAAAATTTCCAAATAAATGTGTTGAAAACTTACCAGGCCTTCAGGATGTTTTAGTTAGCCTCTTAAGCAGGAACAGCTCAAATGACAACACAGAGGCACAGAGAAAAACAAAAGCCAAAACAAGGTGTGTGGAAAATTGTCCAAACATACTGCTATGTGGACTTCCAATAAAAGCCAAGGATCTGAGAAGATTCCTCAAACTGGTGTGTGGGTATAACTTCTATCACATCCTTCTGTTTGTTTAATGACCTCTTGAGCATTTCCAATGGACTCAGTTTTAGCCAGTCCAGCCAGTCCCTGAAAGTGGTGTCTTGCTCCAGTGAAACAGAGGAATGGTGGTTGGGTTCAGAGAGCTGCTCTGGTGAGCAGGGAAATGCTTAGCTTTCCCCAGCCCCTCTGCACCTCTTCTGGTATTGTCCACCACTCGTGCATCCTCCAGGAGTCTTGGGAGGACCACAAATAAGAAGGAACAGTAGTTTTCCTCTTGAGCTCTGCCAAAAACAATGTTCAACCACTCTCAGGTAAGAAGTGGTGGCTTCAGCTGTGTCATGTGTGGGCAACGTGGGTCTCACATGGCAGGGAGGACATAGTGAGCATTTCCTTAGTAACTGTGTATAAGGCATTGTAGGATTTGCTTTTCAGTTTGCAATTAGTTGAGAACAAATGGGGTTACCAAGCTACCAGGATGAGCCTTAGGGGACACTTTTCCTTACCAGGTTTCTGTCTTTTATTGCTGTATGAAGTAGGGAGTTGGGATCATTTCCTAGCCTTCTCTTTGGCTCCAGGTCTGAGATTGTGTCTTGAAGTTCATCCAGTGCCTCCTCAAACCCAACAGAGTTGTTACAGAAGCAGTAAAGGGAAAAGAAGGCAGTGAAAGCAACAGGAGGACGTTGGATCCGGGGGCTGTTGGAGGAAGAGTTAGGGGAGGGTGGCTATTCCAGTGGGACTTGTGGGGCTTGCACCTCCGTCAGTCATAAAACGCACTGTGCTTGGAGGCACAGGGGAGTCAGGAGGATGGCAGTGAAGGTCAGGATTGGTCATCTTCCTTCTCAGTTTGTGTCTCTCTCATTTTCCTACTTTTTAATATTTTTCCGCTTTTTAAAAATATTTTTTCTTCTTTTTTTTTTTATTTATTGCCTGCCGTTCTCAGGCCAGCACGGCAGCGGCGCTGCAGGACGGGCCCCGTGGCCGGTACCTGTTCCCGTTCCTTGTGCTCCCTGCCCGCCACCAGCCTGGTCCAGTGGGAAGCCCAGTCCCTCCATCCCGCCGGGAAGCGCCAGCGAGGCAGCGGGGTGCTGTGACCGCTGTCGCTGCCCGCCCATATCCTCCCATCTCCCATCCTCCTGCCGGCCCCGGCCCCGCAGGGCGGGGAGCCGCGGGCAGCGCCCGGCCGCGTCCTGCGGGAGAACGGGATGCGGGCCCCGCAGTGTCCCTGTGCCACAGGCAGCCAGGGAAACGGGGAGGAGGAACGGAGCGCTGGGGTGGGGAGTGGCGGCAGCTGAGACGGGAAACGTGGCTAGAGGTAGCGGCCTGAGGAGAAGCCGGGCTGCATAGAAGGGCAGGACGAAACGGGACACCAGTGTGCAACGCAGCCCCAAGAATCCGTCCCTGGTGCTGGGCCATCCTGGGGGAATGGGAGGAGCCCTTTCGGAGGACAATAAACTCTGGAATGAGGGTGTGGGCTGCTGCTCCTCGCTCCCCCCCTCATTCCACATGCATGATGATACCATATCCCTCCATCTCGCTGGCTTCTTGGGGTTTTTTTTCTTTTTTTTTTTCTCTTTTCCCAGAAATTGTATTTTGAAGACAACCAAAATGAGAACGTGTTCTGGGTGTGGCTGCATGTGATTTACCCAATAGCCAAAGTGGGGGGGCGCCGAAGGGGAAAAACAGAGCGTCTGCTGCTGAAGGGAGTGGAAGCTGAGGGCTGCAGTAAGTGATGGGGACCCTGTCTTTTTTCAGTGCTTCTCGAAATAACTGAAAAGTAGAAGAGAATGGAGGGAGAGAACGTGGGGGAAACTTTTCCTTGCATGCTGAGGGGGTGTGGTGCAGGGCTTAGCCATCTAAATGGGAAAAGAGATGGGGACTGGGGAAAGGAGGTGTAAAAGAGGAACAAAGCAGGTGGTGTTATAAATTCAGTCCAGAATGTTTCAGAAATACCTGGAAAACTGGCCACATGAGGAGGGAGACAGGAGGGAGGCTGGGAAGACCAAATGGTCTTGAGAGGAAAATGGGTACAACAAGCAAAGTTTCTGAGGTGTAGGGGAGGGTATACCGGTTCCTGCCTTAGCTTTCCTCTGTTCTCTCCTCCACTCCACAGGGATGAAGACCTCTGGAACCTGTATACTGTTTTGTGTCTTAACACTCTTCTTGTCCCCAGCCGGTGAGTCCTTATGCCCAGGGGAAGGATTTCTTCCCCATCTGGGCCCCGTGGAGTTTCCTATACAGAATAATGTGCAACGATCTAAGGACAAAGACAAAGATGTGTAGAGGGGTAGTGAAGGGGGAAGGGCTGAACAGGAAAGGCAAGGTGGATATAGGATTGTAAGGAGAAAATTAGGAACTGGAAACAGTTTCCCATCTGTGACACTCTCCAATAAGTACTGGGAGTCACAAGAGACAGAGGTCCACAGCTTCTACTGCAGGTATGTTATAGTAAGCAAAACTTCCAGATCAAGCTGAGAAGGAGGGTTAGGTGTGCTTTGTGCTTACTGCTGTACCACCTGTGTGTGCATGATCTGCAGGGCATTTCCCAGAGCTCTGCAAAATTTGTTCTGTCACAGTTGTGACACGTTTGCTGTCACTAGCAGTTCCTGCTGGAATGACATCATTCCAAGCCACTCAGCTGCTGGGAGGTTTTGTAGTATTTGTACAGCTGTTTTGAGAAACCTCACCTCTGTAGTTCAGACAATTTTCTGCTTTTGGTGGTTGTTGTTATTCTGTTTTGTGTCTCCATTGCTTTGTTTGCTTGGAGATACTTTGGCAAAAATTCCGATCAAATTTGTTTTTTTTTAAAAAAAGCCCAACAACAACGAAAAGACTAAAACAAGAGGGCAGCATCAGACATTATAGTCAGAAGACTCAGACAGATGTGAAAGATTAATTTCAGTGAATGGACAAAGCTTTGTCCAGGAAAGACTGTATCACTTTCAAACTAGGTTATTTCAATACCCTCCTTGATCCTCCCCTCATGCTGAAACCTGATTCTGTTCCAAATAGCACTTTTTCCTTTAAAGATGCACAATAAACAATGTCATGTTTATGACTGTGAAGCAGGGAGGTGAGGCATCCAAGAGATGATCTTATAGCTGGACTACAATTTGAAAGAGGAAAAAAAAAAGGCTGTGGGTTTTATTTTGCATGAAGGAAGCCTGAAAGGAATATTTCTTATATTTGAATATTTTGCTTGAGCGCTTCTCTTTGGGTTTGTTTAACTTGGAAAATAACAGGAATCACCAGCTGGTGTCTCATTGTTTCTTTTGATTTTGGGTAAGATACAGATTTGGTGAGTTAAGGTTGCAGTTCTAGATCTTAAGGATGAATTTACTGCAGCTTAGACAAGGAAGTAGAGTTGTTTATAAGGCTTATTTATTGGGTACCATAGTAATCATAAATTGAAGTGATTGAAGGTGGGATAAGAAAATCACCCTTTTTGTGTCCTCGCCTCATATGCAGAGATTTCACTTCACTTCTGTCCTTTTGTTTTAGAATTGGACTGGTTTTCTATTCAACCCCTAGGGGAAAAGAAGATTCGTAATAGCTGACTTTTCAAAGTTAGAAAAGGGGGAGGAGCCACCCTGTCTTTTGTACACATCTCTTCAAATCCAGCACTGCTGGCTTCTGCAGTGGTTTCAGGATTTTCATCCTTCCTTTTGCATCAGTAACAAATGAGAAAGTGCTCAACACCATTTTCTTCCCTACTTGTTACAATTAAGAGATTAGCCAGAACAGGGGAAGTTTTGGGCTGTATTAAATTGTGTACTTAAGTTATTATGCATGTCTGGCTCTCCCTGGGTTAATCGCCAGCAGCTGGCAGCTGGGTGGGGAAGAGAATATCAGGGTCCAGCAACTCCTGTAATGCTGTAGAGCAGGATTATGTAGGGGTCCCAAGAGACCCTCTGCGGCCTGCAAGTAACTGCCCTTGGAATGTGGAAGAACTATGACAAAAACTCCAGACCTGATCGTTTTTACCCACACAGTGCTCCCACTAAGAGCAGAAAGCTGCAGGCTGAGGTCGCAGGACGTAGCGGGATGTACTGATTGTTGGGCTGGTCATGCACACATCCCTGCAGTGCCCCAGATCACTGGCTTTTTCCTGCCAACTCCTTCCTTCATCCCACCCCAGTTATGCAGACATTTCCCTCGTCTGTGGCTAGCAGGAAATATTTTCCTATTCCTGGCTGCTGTAAGGAAGCTGGTCTGTCACCCTTTATATTTAAACAAACAAACAGTCTAGCCCAGCTTCAATTCCTTCCATGCAGCATGCACAGCCAAACCTTCATCATTCCCCTTCTCCAGTTCACCCAGAGGCTGAGAAGGGAAAGATTCTTTGCTCTGTGCTCCATACCCAGGCTGGATGATTTACCTAAGGAGCTACAAAACCTGCGGTCTGCTTTTTACTGTACCAATGACTCAATCCGTGCCCCCAGGCGAATAATTTCCATGACTCAGTTTCCTCTTTAATAAAATAGAGATAGGGATTTTGCTCAGCCTCCAGAGCAGGGAGGCTACGTGGATTTTTTTTTCCAAAATGAATCAAAAGAGGTTTCAGAAGGGCAAAGTCTGGAGGTATTTACTAACTTGTCCCTGTGCCTAGCCATTGCCCCTGGTGGAAGCAGCAGGGATAAGATCAGGACCCGCTGTATCCACGAGCATTTAAACAGCAAGTGGAGGCTGAGGCTGAGTGGAGAGCATTTCTCCCTTCAACAAAGGGCAGTGGTGTCTCCTGGATAAACATTAAAATTTCACAAAGCCTACAGACTATAAAAATCTGTCTTTCGTCACGCCCCTCTCTTCTTCTCTTGCAGACTGGTTTCCATGGATGGTCAATGGGCAAGAACTGGAAAGTGCAACTGGTAAGTATTACAGGCATGTTAATGTGCTGAAGATTGCTCATGTGACCCAGCTGTCCTGTGGAGTTACAGCCTGTTTATTAGAAAATACTGTTCTGTGTTTCTTTGCCTCTGACATTGTGAGCTTACCTTTCAGTGAAGATTAAACAAGCTCTCTAAGACAACCTGCTAAGTGTTACGCGCTCTTTACAAATAATTCTCTAGTGCAGGGGTCCTGAACACTTAGCTGAAGGGTACAAAGTTATGTTCACAGTCAAGGGTTGTAGGAGGTCCACAAAAGCTGGTACATCTTCAACCACGAGATGCTTGGGGAACTCTACTGCTGCTCAGAAAAATCCTAAAGGAAATTGTGCACAAATGGCATTGTGCTAGAGTAGTGAGGCCGTTGGGAAAGGATAGTGACTGATATTACTGGCTGTGTTGGGGGTGAATTAATTTATCCCTCTGGACCTTAATCCATTTTTGCCACATGGTAAGACAAAATGAATGTACATTTACTTCATGCTTCAGCACCAAAAAGGACCACAAGGGCCTGCCTTTTCTTCAAACCTTAAGTCCCAGGCTAAGCCTGCAGACATCTCCCAGCTATGATCCTATGATATGCAATATCTGCAGTTTCCCAGAAAAGTATTCAGCTATGAGGGTTGATAAAACGTGCACAAAGAAATCCAGTCCCAGGCCAGCCACCAGGAAGGGGAGTGGATACGGGTGGGTTGAGGGTACTGTGTTTGATTGTGTGTTTGCTGGGTTGGATCCCACTGTCTCATGAGCCTATGATGGCAGGAGAGGTAATTCAAGCTGGCTCTGGCTGGCTGTGTAAGGGACCATAAAGTAAAGAAAAGCTTTTTCAAGGACATTCTCTTTTCCAGGTGGAGTTACCCCTGACAGCAGCTCTGGTAAGCTCCAATCTCTTGGCATCTTCATGCTTCTTTTTCCCTTTTCACCACTGCTGCCCACACAGTCGCAGAAATTACCCATTATGCCCAGAAACTCCTCGTCCCACTTCTGATGTGCAGCAATGTTCTTCCAGCACTTACGGCTGTCTGGGAGTCCTTTTTGTGCTCCATGCAGGGAGATGAATTTAGGGTGACTTAATGGTCTGTTCTCCAAGGAAATACTAATCTCACTTCATATAACAAGGCTCCCTGAAGATGTTCCATTGGAGGAAGCCATGAGTTTAAATCTCACACATCCTTGGCTTCCAGAGAAGGTGGCAGGAACAAACAGACTAAATGATGAGGGTGAGAAATTGGACAGGTTCAAACTGGGACACAGGCTGTGTGTGTGTGTCTGCTGACTGGTAGCAGATGTGCTTCCGTTCCCAGGAGACAGAGGTGCCAAAAATCCCCTGAAAGTAGTAGAGCAAACCCTGAGCATTGTTGGAGTGAGGAAGTGGAAATTCTGTTATTTCGGTACTGTCTGCCCCACCGTGCCTGCAGCTGTGTCACAGGGGGGCAGCAAAATGTCTGAGAAGGGAAGGGTAGATGGAGGACTTGGAAGATGAGCACTTAGAGCACACAGTGCATGTCCTTAGAGAGCAGAGATGGCCCCAGGAGCAGGACACAGAGCTGATGGAAGTGTAGGCAATTCCAACAATGGGCAATGGAAGAAAAGAGAGGCTCAAGAAGGAGCCTCCCCACTTTTTCCAACCCCACTCTGAGTTCAAATCTGTCACCACTGGCCTTGGGAATGGTTTGTCTCTCTGCTGGAGCAGTCTCCCAAACACATCCCTCTGAGCGTGGTAAAGACCAGGCAGGACAGGGAGAGGGAGAACACATGTGGTCGATGCTATGGGTCAGAGAGAGGCAGCTATGCATGGCTATTTTTGGGGAGTGTGCTCTGAGTGTATGGGAACTCATCTGGGAGCGATGTCTTGTTCTCTAGAACACCAGCTCCACAGTTTGTCCTCTGCCCTGACTCTGCTCATCAGCTGGCTGCAATATTTGTTGTGGGTCAGACTGCCATGAGACTGAGTTGAGGCCAGCTGGAAATATAATTAGGATAATTGAAAACTGCAGATGAGTCGAGGGGCCAGATAGGAATATAATTGAGATAGTAAAAGACTGCATATTTTAGTTAAGATCTTAAATAAGTTAAAGAGTTAAGTTATAAATGTGGCTAGCAAGAATCATGTACTCTAGTTAAAGTGTGGCAAAGATATCCGGAAGTAAAGCTAGGAGTGACAGGGGATAGATAGAGTATTGTAGAAGGGCAGAAACCATAAAAATAACTGGCCTCTAAGAATAATCAAACAAGAGAGGCTTGGACAGTGACCAGCAGGTCAAAAAGTCCTGCCAGATGGATACAGGTGAAGAGTTCACCATAAGGAAGATGCCTTTCTTCCTCCCATATGCTCACTCCCTTATTTCAAAATCCCACTGACCCAATTAAGAGGATACAATTGCCCAGCCATAATAGATATTCAGCTAATTACAATATGAAACAGGGAGGTAATGATTATGTATTAGGCATCCATAGAAACCACGTGAATATATAAACCTTTCTTAGATAAACAGGGAGCTGGAGTCTGTGACTCCTCCTCGCACATACCTTTAGAAATTATTCCACATGTAATAAATACCCTTCTTTTCAACTTTAATTAGTTGAAGAGTCGTTTTTCTGTGCTTCAAGACAACACTGGAAGAGGAAAGTGGAAGCACAGTATTGTGTCTAGAAGATGTATGATTTCGTGGTTGGGATGGGAGGTGAAAGCTGTGTTCAGCATATGAGGCCTGACAATCTGTAGGAAGGTAGAGAGCACTTAGTGTCCAGACCAAACTGGTGGTGACTGACCTACATCTAAAGGTTAAAAGACTAAAAGTGAAGCCTTTACAGCAAACTGGGGCTTCAAAATGCTCTACTATTGAGGGATCAAGAAAAACTCTTCACAAAGGATGTGCCATTGGGACCCATCTTTGCTCTTGCAGCATCCTATCAGCTCTAGCACACCCAGCATATTTGCAGGGAAAGCCTGCAGGTACTCTGGCAAATCAGATAATAAAAACAGCACAATCAGCATTGCCTATGAACCAGATGTGAGATGGCTACTAGTCAGGACTGGTAAACCATCAGCAGAACACTGGCAGGAGGGAAGAGACTGTAAGCTCAAATTAAGATCTTCCAGTACATCTCTTTTTCCAGGTGCAGCTGCCACACCACCTGTGCTTCTTCCTCCTGGTGAGTTTATTCTCAGTTTGCAGCCACATGTTGTGGACCCTCCTTTCCTCTCCTCACACAGTCCCTTACACAGCTGGAATCCTGCCTTCTCTGAGTGCCCCTAAGCCCCACACTCAAAAGATTCATTCTCTTTAACACACATGTTTTGTCTATGCTTCTGGCTAATACTATGGCACCTGAGCAGAAGTCCTCTGTAATTGCTCATAAGAACTTGCACCTGGCAGTCAGTTTTCTGAATTCCTTTCCAGTTTTTTACTGGGTAAATTATAAAATGTACTGGTTTGCTGTGGTACAGATTACTTTATCAGGGGGAGTAACAAACCAACCTCTTTTTGACCTCTTGTCATGGACATTAAAGAGCCAGTGGTGTTGGGGTGCTGTTTCTTAAAGGTGTGTGTCACTGTTCCTTATGAAGGGCAGTCACAAAGTCCTTCACCTCTTGACTCGATAAAGGGTAATTACAGCAGCTAAAGAAATTTACCTGACCTTTTAAGTCAGAATGTCCTTACAGTGTAATTTTGAACAGTGGTGGTAATGCTTTATGGGAAAGCTTAGGCAAATTTTTTGCATTGTTGACTGCATAGCTGGCACTAGACTCACATTGGATTTGTACCTTATGGTTTCATGTCAGTAACAATGAAATCTTTTTCCACATTAGAAATTACAATGGAAGGCTCTTGAAAGAGTTTTCTAGATATTTGTTTTGATTAAGCTGATTTCTAGGAAGGAATCATGGTAACTAACTAACTTTGCAACCCTCTGTCTTCCAGTTCAGTCTGACAGCGAAACGACAACGGCTTCATCAGGTGTGTTTTAAGTTTGCTGCCTGCACCCTCTCCCAGACCCACTTTCACCCACCCTATTAGCTCTCCAGAGAGGTTCTGGCTGGGCACAGAGTTCTGTCACCTGGAAAATTGCTTTAAATTGTTTCTTGAGTTAGAAGTACCGGAGAGTGATGGTAGTGGAAGCTGAAGTCTTCTCCTGGATGGCATACCTGGGAAGGGAGGAGCTGGCAGATCAGCAGACCAGATACAATGGATCAATATTGTGTCAGTGTCAGTGGCCAAGACCTGGCATTTCAGAACAACATGCAAGAAAATCCATTGTAGTTAGTTACAGGGTTGATCAGAAAAGAAAGGAACTAGATTTGTGTCCTGAAATATGATAATTGCACATCTATTAGAAACTCACGTCTTAAATATGCAACTAAAATTTACATTTTGTTTATATGTGTCTGTCCCCTTTACAACATGTGCCTTCTGTATTCTGGGTGTCCAGTGGGCTTGGTTTGAGTTTTAACTTTCCCTTCTTTTGTCTTGCAAAGCAAGGGGATCAGAAATAGCTGCACTATTTTCCTCTTCTCTAGACCAGCCCCATCTCTCACATGAGAGTGACAATAGAGGCTGGGGTCCTTCCCTAGAAGCCTGGAGGACTGTACCTAATGATTAGATTATATCTGTGCCTGAATGAGTGCACCTGGCCATGATGCTGGGTTGCACCTCCGTGTCTGTGTGTGTTCTCAGACTGCCGTGAGGAAAAGTTCCCTTGCACACGCCTCTACTCTGTTCACAAGCCAGTAAAGCAGTGTATCAGCTACCTCTGTGTTACAAGGTAAGAAACCAGCAGTCCCTAAGAAAAGCACTAGAAACTGCCCAGAAATTGTGTGTCCGGTTCAGCAATTGTTCCCTTTGAAAACTAGAGGTTTTCTCTGGGAACCTATTGGTGAGATGAATCCTATCCCCAGAGTGTCCTTTTAGGGTAATTATTTAAAAGAGAACAATGGCTTCACTCTGTGCAGCACTAAGGAGCTGTAATGTGCCCATAGTTAAGGTATTTGGTCATTTATAGGGCCATGAAAATGATCAGAGGTATGGAGCACCTCTCCTACAGACAGGCTGAAAGAGCTGGAATTATTCAGCTTGGAGAAGAGAAGGCTTCAGAGAGACCTCATTGCAGCCTGCAGTACCTAAAGGGGGCTTATTAAACAGAGGGAGAACAACGTTTTACATGGGCAAATAGCAATAAGACAAGGGGGAATGGTTTTAAACTGAAAGAAGAGAGATTTAGGTTTGTTGTCAGGAAGAAATTCTTTACTCAGAGGTCGGGGATGCACTGGTACAGATTGCCCAGGGAAGTTGTCAATGCTCCATCTTTAGGAGTGTTCAAGTCAAAGTCCTTGAGCAACCTGATCCAGTGGGTGACATCCCTTCCCAAGGAAGTGAGTTTGGAACTAGGTGATCTTCAAGGTCCCTTCCAACCCAAGCCTTTCTATGATTCTAAGATTTCATGAAGTCTTTGCAAAGATTCCTTTGCTATTGAGCAGCCTTATTATTGGCAAAGAAATCATAAAAAATTAGGATTTGCCTGCTCACTAGTGAATATACATATTTATTCCCTGTTCCCCTTTTTTGTTTCTTTGTGTCCCTGTGCTTTCTGCTGCTGATCCCGGTGATCCCGCAGTGTGCGTCGCATGTACGTAATAAACAAGGAGGTGTGCACTCGCATTGTCTGCAAGGAGAACGAGGTCATGCAAGGTGAGTGCTATCACAGGCCAGCCTAGAAGGATAGCTGCAGCCATCTGATAGAGTCTCCAGGCTAACTAGTTGGCTTAGACCCTGATCCACATGCAGTAGCCTCCCTGGACTTTGAAAGAGTTCTGATGCAATGCAGTCTTGGACATAATACACATGTCATGATAAAAAAACTGGGAAGTAGATACTGTGCTATTAAAAAATATGATAGCTCTCTATTCCTCGATCTTGATCATGGTCTAGTAGTCCCAGACACACCCTTACTCAAAGTTGTACTCCTTTGAGGTTAAAGAGTAAATATCACTATTTCTGTTCATGAATAGAAGCAGGATCCAGTCTAGATTTTTTTATGCATGCTTTGTTGCAGCAAATACAAGTGGTTTTAATATGCAATGTACATGCATAAAGCCAGAAGGAAATTCATAAAAGCCTAAGGACTTGCTTTGCTTGCCTCATGTACATAAGGATTGAGCAGTTTCAACAGTTTCTGTAGATGCAGTGAAGGATGTACCTCTAACTATTCTGCTGGTGAAGGATTTGAAGGAAGCTTTGATTATCTGTCAACCTGTGTGTGTCTGCTTGTCTTCAGATGAGATCTGTCGCCAGCTGGCTGGCCTTCCTCCTCGACGTCTCCGCCGATCCGGGCAGCCCCTGCCTCTGCCTTGCAGACAGCTCCTGGAGCAGCAGCGCAGGCCTGATGCTCTGTGAGCTACCAACATAGGAGAGGAAAAGAAGAGAGAGAGGAGAAGTCATCATCCACTACCTACAGTCCAAGACAAGTGCTTCTTGTTTGTGATTCCCCCATTATTTCCTTGCTTCTGTGCCTTCTTCTACATCCTCTTGTTCAGGTGCTGCAGGGCACAGAGTACCCTCTCTGCCAGTCTGTCATGGTAGCTGTTGTCATCTTTATAATCTGTTACTGAGGACAGGGGACTCTCCCCTCTTTTCTCTCACACTCTGCCTGGCATGCTGTGAGCTGCTCATTTCCCAGAGGTCCTTATAAATGTGCTGCACCTTCTCTTGCTTTGCCCCTGGAGAGAGCCAGAAATGGGGACAGGATGAAGTCCTCCCCAATGGTACAGATGCCTTAAGCTGCATCTCATCTCACCTTCATGCCCTGGGACTACTGCCCTAGATTTCTTGCCTGGCATCAGCATGAGCTCGGATGTGGTTGGTCAGCCTGAGCCTCTCTGATTCTCCCAAGCCACCGAGTTTGTTGTGTGATAGCACATTCTCCTCCTTGTGTCTGCTGGCCTCAGGGAAGTGATAGAGCTGGGAGATGAGCTGTCCTGAACCCAAGGCACCCTTCCCTGGGTGGCAACAGATCATTTATAACTACCTCTGGGAAGTTTTTGTCTCAAGCCCATTGCCTCCTTCACACACATCTCCTACCAAAAGGAAAAAATCTGGATTTAGTATGGCATTATATTTTTCTCAAAAAGATTATGTTGGATCAGAGTGCTGCCTCTTCTACTCCTCCTCTCCTCTCCCCTGTTCTTGTCCCTCCCTTCCCACTGAAGACATCTCTTGATGCCCATTCCAGGCAAGTTTCAGGGAGCAGTAATTACAGCTGCCTCCACTCCTAAGCCCAAGAAAGCCCATGAAGAACCTGTGTGACCTGACATTACTGAGACCTTGCAATTAATTATCTTGTCTTGGTGTCTTGGTCTGGCTACCTCCACACTCTCCAGTTACTGTGCCTGCTTTCAATCTCCAGTTGAGTTCCTACCTCCTGACCTGGAAGCTCCTGCACAAAGCAGGAAGGAGTTGCAAATTGGAATCGGATGTGGGAGGAGAATCATTATCTGGGATTGCTGTTTACCTGGGACCTGGGATTTTCCAGCATAATCTCTGACTGTGCTGACCTGCACAGAGCCAGGTGCTGATGGGGAAGGTAAACCTATCTGCAGGTATAAGTGCTTATACAGGCCAGCCTGGGCAGAAGAATTCACTGTGGCAGCACTGGATGCCTGGTCTGCTCAAGGAATTTGTTTTCTAGGTATATGGAGAACATTTCCAGGTATATGGGCAGTTTTTGTGATGAGACCAGATAGGGTAAGTGGGGAAGAGCAGTCTGAATTGTATTAATCACTCCATGTGACTCTTAGTGGCATGATTTTGTGGGGCACCAGAGGATCAGCAAGACCTAGGACCTCTCTGTTATTCCCAAGTACCTAAAAGCCAATTTGCTGGATTTGGCATTCACTCCCCTCACATCGTCTGCTGAACCCTTCAGTCTTGCAGGAGCACTGCCCTGTTGCACAGAGCCAGGGTCACACAGTATTGGGGACAGTTTGCTGCACAGAGGCAGATGTCTCAGAAAAAGAGCAGAAACAATTAGTGTGGGACCATCTCGCCAGGACCTGCATTTCTGCTGTATGCGGCAAGAAGATGGTCACACCCTCCCTGTGGGGGAAGACACCCTGTGCAGACAGATTCCACATAAGGTCAAAATTAGCCCTAGATGGGCTAAATCTCTCTATATTTATCCAATGTACAGGAGAAAGAATTCCAAATCATGCAATGACTAGAATTTTGTCCTACATATAGGAGCACTGCGCTGCTACTCAGAGGATGATGCTCCTCTGGAGTACTCCAGGCTCATGAGACTAGGAATGAAGGAGGGATTTCTTTGTACTGAGAGGGTGCACATTTCTGTGGAGAGGAGGGTATTGAGAGCTTGATCTCAAAGACATTCAAGCCACTAGCCACTACTGGCTTCCATGCCACAGGGATACTTGTGAAAATTGCCTGTGTGGAGGAAGGTAGGATGGAGATGGATCTTGGAAATTGGACTGGGTCAAGTCTGCTCTCTGTATTTAGAGGTGAATATTCATCACTATAGATACATAACTGGGTAACATAGCTACTGTACAACATATAGGAATTTAACTTTCATACAGGTTGGGAAGTGGTTAGAAACCTTTCTGTTGCTTGCTTTCAGCAGGGACAGGAAGAGGTGCTCCTGTCCAGGAGAACACTGTTTTAATACTAAAGTTTATATAATCCATATTAAAAGAAAATTTATTTCCTGTTATTCTTGGCAACTCTCCTGTGTTTGGGTTTATTTGTCCCTTGCTGTATTTCCTCCACATTTGTGGGGAGACTTGATTCCATATCAAATCTATCATCTGGAACGTTTTACTCCCTGCTAGCCTAGTCCTCTGCTGTCACCCTCCTCTCACTCATGAATCACAAGTCTTCCTGGGAACTCTTTTTTTTTTTTTTTTCCTAGAGAAACATAACATTTTCTCCAGCATTTTTTTACCATGGATACCTGTGCTAGATTTTCCTGACAATTGTTAGCTGCTGAACACAGAGATAACTCCTCCCAGCCCATGAAATTTGGGTGGAGGACCATCTTTTTACTGTGCATAAGCCTTGACTTTCTGGTGGAGAATTAACATCTCCAAATAAAATGGCAAGATGACTGAAATAAGAGAAAAGCTGTAATAAATATCATATAAGCAGAGAAGAACTTTTTCACTACAACCATTTAACTCAATAATGGGAATATCTGAGAGACCACTTTGAAAATTACACATCTATGTCAGAAGGATTAGGAAAATTTGCTTTTCATTGATTTTCTGACCTTTTCATAGTTTCATCAAGCATTGACTGTACATCATATTTTGGTTGAAAAGGTGAAGCACTCAGACATGGGGGACTCTGAGCAGTATCTTCATGTGCAAGCAGTCAAGTCTGCATTTAGATGGTATTTCTAGAACAAAAGTGGCTGTGGGCCAAATTGCCCATTAAGCTGCCTCTGAGAGTGCCCCATAGATCTTCAGGACTAAACCACACAATGCAGATTATTGCACAACACTCTCCTCTACTCCCCTTCCTGGCTGAAGCTGTGATGTCCTGCTCTCAGACTGCTGTAGTGGGTACTGCCTCAGCCCCAGTGGTTGGAGACACTGCTCCCTCCTACACAGGCCAGACCCTGCTCTGTCTCATAAACTCAGCCTTTGCAGTGCTCCTGCATTGGCACCTTCCCCTGGCTGTGTGAGCCAAGCACCACATATGCCATCAACTGTTTGTAATTCAGCTTGTTCTTCCTTCTCCCTCACACTAGAGTCGGCCCACTCTTCATTGGCGCTTGTCCCACACCTACATGTATCACCTCTGCCACTACAACCCTAACTGCCACGGTATCTGGACATCACTTTCTCTTGCAAGCCGGGGAAGTGGTTTTAAATACGCCTCCAGGTAGGTGAGCTGCTCATGCAGTTGGGCTAGCCACAAAGAAAGCTGACAGAGCTGGTTTTAGAAGCATGATTCTGCATTTGTGGCTGATTTTCACAACCTCTCCTGACCTGGAGCAGGAGGTAGATGCCCTGTGGTCACTTCCCACGCAATGGCTGCTCCTTCTCCTCCTGCTGTCACAGCTCCCTGGTACTGATCTCTGTGACCAGTTTGAAGGCTGCGGGTTAAAGCCAGCACTCCGATGTCTGCTCCCCAGTGAAGCAGTTCCTCACTGCCGGGCACGTGGAGCTAACAAGCATGGCAAGGCTGTTGGAAGCAGCTGGCATGTCCATGTTGGAAGCTGCTGACATGTCAGAAGCTCCTGAAACTTGTTGCCTGAATCCTGTCCACAAGAACCCACAGGGTGAACAGAGTGTTGGCGTCGGGCATCTCAGCTTGGAAGGATCCCTCAGGGATGTACTCCTGGCTGCTGTGTGGACTGGTCCTTGCCACTCCCACAAAAAGAGCTCCTCTACTAGACAAAGAATAGCTGGGTTGAAACCAGAAGGAATTTTAGCTTTAATTTTTTTTAATTGTTTGGGTATTTTTTCCTGGAGGTATTGAAGTACACAATCCTGTAGTATTGACCCCTGGCACCACATGGTGACATTGTTGGACAGTGTACATTTGTCCAGTTGTGAGCAGCTCCTTTACTGGGGCACAGGAAATCTGATTCCAGTTCTGAATCTCTTCATGCCCTGCTCTCTGATCTTTAGCACATGGCTTTTTTTCTCTCTGTTCCTGCCGTCCTTGGAACCTGTAATGCAACAAGTTGGAATAAACTCCCACAAAACAGAGAGCTGGATTTTAGTCTGTTAAAAAAGTTAGTTAAAAATGTGTGGGGAATACTACAAAGGTATTTGATTGTCTACTTTTACTACTAATGTAAATTATTTTTTCAAATAAAAACATGTTCAATAATGTGAATTATATCAGTTAAAATACAAACAGCATGTGCTTGTTGCTAGTATGCTGAAGTATATTTAAAAAGCAAAAAATGAAAACCATTCCATTCATTTAATGAATAAATTATCTATCAGAATGCAGTTTGGGGCATTTTACTAAGGTTGCAATTTCCATACAAATACAGCTGGTCACATATTAGCAAAAAAGTGTAATAGAGAAGCATATGTAATTCAATGTATCTAACTAATAAGACATGTCAGATCTCACCTGCTTAAATATAAGAATAAATGTAGGTTAAGCTGTGCAATTTTTAAAATAAATATGGATATTGAGATAGCATATGTTCCCAGTTAAGATCACAGATAAACTCACACTGAAAGTTAATGTGCAGAGCTAACTTCAAAGCTGCTCAGATTGCTCAGAGTCTTCTCCAAGTGAATTTTGAAAAATTCAGCAGGGGATGGAGAATCCACAACTTGTTCTAATATTGCATCACACTTAAGATGGAGAATAGTTTCCTGACGTCAGATCAGAAATTCCTTTATTGCATCTTTCATCTGCTCCCTCTGTTCTTTTTGCTGTGCATCTCTGAGCAAACTCTGTCTCCCCTACAAATATTGCTGCAGTCAACTGAAGAAGATAACAAGAAGAAACTTTTAATTAATACAAAGCACAAGTTTACTTGCAAAACAAGGCATTAAAACTATTGAAATAAATTCCCTTCCTTTGGGGAAATTATGTTAAAAAATGCAAAACATGACCAAAAAAAATCAGTGGTTCAGTTAAAGGATTTGCAGTCTGTGTCCCTGCAGCAGGCCACTTTTTCTATGCTCACACAGCATCTACTTCTTGTGCACCACCTTCTCACCCTTGAAGAAGTGAGATCACTTTCAATTTCTCTGCTTTGGGTTTAGCAGCCTTGGATTTCACTGTTTTGCCCTTAGCTGGATCTTTGCCTCTTTTGGTCTGTCAGTTTTCATATTCTGTAGCTATTTCTTGGCCATCTTGACTTTCCTTGAGACTTTCTTCACAGCCAGAGCTAATCAGGGCTCCTTGGCAGTGCCAGTCAAGGGCCAGGTGGGTCTTGGCCTTTGCTGCCTTCTTGGTACCTTCAAAAGTGCTTCTTTTCTGCCTGGTGCAGTGAGTGTAGCTCCTCCTGAGACTCTCTGTGCTGTGGTGGTTTTCTCATCAGCCCTGCTTGAGCTCAGCACTGTCATCACACAACATCTCTTTTGGCTCCACTGTCCATCAGCTGCTCCCTTTGTAGCTGCTCGTTGGTTTAGCTTAGGAAAGATGTCTGAACTCTTTGTAGTCTCTGTATTCCCTTTGCCATTTCTGTTCCCTCAGAGTCCCCAGGGGCACTGCTTCACGGTAGATTTTTGCCTCTCCAATCTAAAAGATTTCCTTGTTCCCTGTTTTCCAAATTGGAACAGGACCAAGCTAGCCACCCTTAAGTAAATTTGCCTGTGCCTTACCTGTACCTGCACAAAAGTGATAGAGGAGAGGAGTAGACCTGGTGTCCCCATGTTGAGCACAGACTGGGCAAAATTAAATTACCTGGCTGTGTATGAGTGCAAGATGAAGAGATGCTCTTGAGGACTCCCAGCCAAGGAAACCTTGTACAACTGCAAGGTACTCAGCACACGACTGACAGCCAAGGAACATCCAACACATGATTTCTTACTGAACTCCCAACACTTCTGTCTCAGTCTCTCCAACAAAGCACTTCTCCAAAGACAACAGGAAAGTTAAATTCAGGATTTACCACCCAGGCCTCAGGTGCAAGCTCTTTTTGTACTGAGTAGCACGAGCTGAAGCACTGCAGCTAATCAGAGGCAACACTGGTTTGCAAAACCATAACCACAGCTAGAAGGTGAGCCTCATTGTGAAAAACACCAGTACAAAACCCAGTTTCTCCCTGTGGCTAGCAGATGACTGCCGAGATATGGAGCTAGCGACTTCGACTGAGGAGGGGGAAAATCTGATTTGAAACAGGGTGTGGGGTGCCCAGCCCAGGGAGCTGAGCTGCAGGAGAGTGGAGTGACCCTGGAACAGAGCCTGCAGCTCCCTGAGCACACAGAGGGTGCTCTCCAGGTCAGTGCACTCAGGAGCCACTTGAGATGGGCAGGGCATGCTGGAGGCTGAAGCTGCAGGGTGCCAGCAGCTCTGGTGGGTACTTCAGCCCCATCTCTCAACATGGGGAGGGCAGTTCTGCTTTCATCAGTCTGTTTCTCTTAGCATAAATGGGGTAAGCTCCCAACCATGCCACGGCCTCAAGCCACAGAACACACTAAAGGACATTTACCATAAGTTTGTGGATTTTGGTCACATTTTTTATCTGCATTCATGATGGGGAAGCCATTCACTAGGTCTCAAACTCCTCAACACAACCTAGCCCCTTTCCTCCCCCCCCTGCTGCTGATCCCAGAAGGTGTCAGTCTCTGGTAGCCAGGGCTGGAAGTACTGTGGCCTAGAGACATGGTGGAGGGTACTAATATGGGCAGGGAGACAAAAGAATTGTGGGGCCACAGGGCCAGAATTAAGGATTATTAGTTCCTGTAAGAAGCCCTGGGCTGGGCTGGGCTGGCAGAGAGCTGCAGGGCAGGAATGAGAAGCACTCACAGAGCTGCGGTTTAAAAATGTATACTCAATTCAATAGTTTCACCCTAATTTGCCTTGTCCCCCAGCACCAAAACAAGTTCAACAGTGAAACAAAAATAAACTGCAGGTCAAGCCTCCAGGTAAAGATTTTGCAGTGCAAGCCTGGAAAGCTGAATTACTAGTAAAACACACCCAGCAACAAGATGCCCTCAATTCTGCATCAATGGCATCATTGACAAACCTGCAGCATGCAGCAGTGCAAGTTTTGTAAACTCATCCTCCCACACATCCTGAACTCCTGCCTTATTTACTTCCCCCTTCCCTCTCACAACCTGGAATACCTGCTCTTGTCTAATTTAGATGCAGCCTCCGTGACACTCACCCCACAGTGCTTTAGCTTTGCATTTGCAAACCCCACCACCACACCATCTCTCTCTGGTGAAGTCCACCCCAGGCAGACCGCACACACATCCTCACAGCTTTTATACATCTCTGTGGTGCTGCACATTCCGCAGAAATCACTGCTTTGTAAAGCAATGGCTGAAACCTTCTCCCCAGGCATGGCATCCACTGCTGCAGCACAGGATGAGGTGGCAGCTCTAGGGACAAGGCTCTCTGCCCCATGTCCTGACAGCAAGCTGCTCTGCATCTAGTGTGGAGGGGTTTTTTGCACCCAGGACTGAAGTA